CGGGTTTTAGTATTATATAATTTCATAAAATTATTTTAATCTTATTTTACGTAAAGAAATTGAGTAGATTAGAAGTTTAGGTTGCAAAATGATTTTCTCAATAAAATTATATCTCATATTAATTTATTCTTTTTTTTTTATATGTTATTTTAAAAAAAAATATTTATATAGTTTGTGGTCGTTATGAGGACAAACAACATCGATTTTAAATATTTTACTTATAGTTATTAATAAACTTGTAAAATTAAATAAATATTGTTGAAACAGTTATCTTATTTGATAGGATACTTACGGTTAAATAAACTCTTAAATTTTATTGTGAAAATCATAAAAGTAATTAAGAATCATGAATAATATCAATAAATAAAATATTTTATTTATTAAATTTTGAATTATAATCGTTATAGAGCACTCAACTTGAAAATTAATTGCTCAAATAAAATAATAATAATAATAGTTAAAATGTCAGGAACATTTTTATTAATAATTGAATGAAAAATTTTAAATAATTTAAGTCTTAATAATAAAAAAATTACGCAACTTGATATTAATCACCTAATGGTCACGTGAAGATTCGTTAACTCTATTAGCTTTGCGACCAAAATTTGAAAATACAAACCACTAAACAGTGACGATTTTTGTGAGATCAAAATTCAATCTAATAAAACTAAGGTGCAATCTAATTCTAGTTCTAAATACAAGAGTTTATTTTTTTAAAATAATGATCTAGTTAAATGAATTCTTCCATTTTTCTAGTTTGTTAGATTATGTATATATTCCACGTGTGCATGATTTCGGTAATATTTTAGGTATCTTCTCTTATTTAAAGTTATGTATGTATCTTAGAAATTATTTATTATATAAAATTTACCTCTCAACTAAGTTATCATGTTTTACCAAGATTTATCGTTTTGTTAAAAGATAGGTAAACAAATAGTTGAGAATATTTAGATCTTTTATAAGTATTTATTATGTTATTTTTGTTGCATAATTTTTTGTTTAAATAAATTTTATATATTAAAATCATTATATGTGATTACGATTTTATCATCAAAATTATATTAAAAATAAAGACGTTATTCAAAACAAAAATTCAATATCATTTCAAAACTTTGTTGTTTGGGTTAATGTTGAGTTGATTTTTTAGAGATATTGAAGAAAACAGTTTGGGAGATATGTGGAAGAAACCAAATTCTTGAAGAATAATGGTGTGAATATTGTGGTTGATTTTTAAGAGACGTGGAATGTTTTGTTCATTTAATTGTATTAAATGAATAAAATATTAAATAAGAATTAGTGTATTACTAATTTGAGGTTAAAAATATGTCAAATAAAGGGAATTTAGGTACATATTAGTTATTAATAAAAAAAATATAAGATGGGATATATATTATGTTATTACTAATTTGCCATTAAAAATATACCAAAGTAAGGGTATATTAGTTAGTTCTTTCTTTTAAAAAAACACTCGTCCTTTTATAGTTGTATTTTGAGTTACCATTTTAGTTAGCACAACATTTAGACATAGAATATAATAAAACATTTGGACTAAATATTACATAAGATTATTTTGTAGATATTGTTTACAAGAACCAATTTGTTTTGGTGGACTTATGTGGAAGAGTTATTTTTTTTCCAATAGCTACTTAGCTAAGAGAATCATAACGATTTCTTCAAAGACCATCTCAATCTCCATCATTTTTAGTAAAATTTAGAATTATTTGAGTCATACTTTGGGCGTGTATCGTAATAGTTTTTAATGTTACGCCGTTATTTATTTAATTAAATATTAGTGATTACCAAAACAAATAAGATTTGAAGACTATTAGTGTATTACTAATTTGCCATTAAAATTAAAATTAAGTCAAAGTAAGGGTTTTTTAGGTAGTTAATTTGTTAATTAAAATATAAAATAAGATGGATATTACTGTATTACTAATTTGCCATTAAAAATATGTCAAAGTAAGGGTTTTTTAGGCAAATCATTATTTTTACAAAATCACTCGTCCTTTTATAATAGTATAGATA